GCGATGCTCTGCTGCAGGGGGAGAGGAGATCAGGAGCGAAAGAAGGACATGCACGTGCATCAGTGCACGCTGGTTTAGCGTACGCATTTCGCGAGCGTTCGTATTGCGAAGTTGGTGTCGCGGACTGGGGGGCCGTATTCATGTACGTGGGATGGCGCGTACGTCCATTGTGGGCTCCTAAAGAGGAACAGGGGCGAGGGCCCCAGTTCAGCAGAACAGAAGGTCCGCAGCTCGAAGCTCGAAAGAGGAGGAGGAGGAGGAGGAGGAGGAGGAGGAGGAGGAGGAGGAGAGCGAAGAGGATGCCCAAAGCCGAGGCTCTGGCGAGTGCCAGCGCAAGGCGTGGAAGACCCACAAGGCAGTGTGCAGGCCCTTGGGCTCGGGAGGGAGCGCGCGGGGGGTGAGGGGATGAGACCGAGCCCAGATCGCCAGGTGCCGCGGACAAACAATAGGACGAGTGCTTTAGTCTCGGCGCCTGTGGGGCCGTCTTCGGGCCGTGGGCCCTCCAAAGCGCGACCCCGCGGCTCAGGACAGGTCCAGGCTGGTGAGCCTCGGGAGGGCATGTCGGGGGTCTGAGAGCTGAGCGGCCACGAGCCCGACTCGACAGGAGCAGGTGGAGAGTTCCTCCTCCTCCTCCGCCCCCTTCTTCTTCTCCTCCTCCTCCTCCTCCTCCTCCTCCTCCTCCACAGTTGCACCATATGAATTCTGCTCTCATCTCTCCCCTAATGACGTCCGGAAGATGTCTGGCCCCCCTCCGCGTATTGTTTTTGTTTACACATTGGGTTTTCGCTTGATTTTTTCCCAGCAAATCTTCTTCCCGCTGAAGCGCTGGCCTCATTTTCGGGCTTCCGCTTGTTCCGAATCGTGCTCCCGCTGCAGCGCTGGCCTCATTTCCGCGCTTCCGTTCGTCTCGAATTGTGCTCCCGCTGCAGCGTTCTGCAGCGCTGACGCAATTGTTCTGCAGAGCCATGCCACAGCATGCAATGCAATGCCATGTGGTGTTCTGCTGTGCGATGCGATGCCATTCCCCAAAATCTAAAAAATGCCCCTCCCCCCCAACAACAAAAAACATCAGAAGTGATTACACATTCGGGGTCGATTCGTTTTTGGGGGCCGCAGAAGCTCTCCCCACTTTGTGGCGTCGTCGTTTTCAGGAGGTATCAAGCTGGATCCCCGTTTCTGCTTTGAGAAGGCGATGTTGAGAGCAGAGCCAGTGGGTGCTTTCCATCAGAACCGCCTGGTGTGGAGCTGTTCGGGGCGCCCAGGGAACTAGACATGGAGCCACGACTCCAGACCGGCCCAGCCCTCTCGAAGACGATCCACTTACCCTCCGAATAACCCCGCGCCATGCCATGACATGCTGTGCGGTGTTCTGTTGTGTTCTGCGCCGCTGTGCGATGCCATTCGTTTCGTTGCAATGCTTCGTGGTGCAGTTAGTCACTACGCAGCGCCACGCTGTGCTATGTCATGCTACGCTCTGCCGTGCTCTTCTACGCCCTGCTACGCCGTGCTTTGCGATGCATCGCGCACCCTCTCGCGATCATTGCCCTGCTCGACATCCGACTGTGCGAACAGAGAGGAGATCTACGCCATGGTAAGGGATGGGAGGTAGGGGTAGGACGTCAGGTATGAGGCGAGCGCACCTAGCTTGTCCCTCCCCCCTCCCCCCCCTCCTCCTCCTCCTCCTCCTCCTCCTCCTCCTCCTCCTCCTCCTCCTCCTCCTCCTCCTCCTCGTCCTCGTCCTCCTCATCCTCATCCTCATCCTCCTCTTCTTCCTCCTCGCTCACCTCCCCGCCCTCCTCGTGGCCGTGAGTTCCGCGCCGCCGGGCGGGCGGTCTGAAGCGCCGCGTGCCGCAGCGGCTCGACTACAGAGCGGGAAGGTACGGCGAGAGAGAGAGAGAGAGCGCGAAGGAAACGCCCCGAGCGCTCGCCCCCGCAGAAATCCTAAAGGGAGGGATGTCTATATTTATATACACACATAACACATCTATAGAGAAAGAGAGAGAGAGAGAGAGAAACAAACAACTAAGAAAAGAGACGTCGCGCAATCCCTGATCCGCAAGAGTTCGGTCGAACATCTTCGAGAGCTGGCAGGCCGACGCCAGCTTCCCGCTGTGGCAACAGGCGCCAGAGTGCGCTCCGAATTGCACATTTAATGTTCCACTCTCGATGCCAGGCCGCATGCCAGCCTCGCTGCACGTCTCTTGACGCATCTCCGTCTTCTCTCTCTCTCTCTCTCTCTCTCTCTCTCTCTTTTGGCGGGCCCAACGGGGTCCCCAGATCGCTGAACGCGAAGCGGTAGCAGCGGTTTGCGCGCCTGGGTTTGGTCACCCCGCGTCCCCGTTAAGCCGCGCACCAAAAGGTCACTCTTGCCTAGGGTCATTCTTGCGTGTAGCCGAACCAGTTTCTCAGTTGTGGTCGGACCGAGGTACGAGATCGAGGTCGGTTCGGGGAGGGTACCCTAGTGTTCCTCGTTTGCGTTGGACCTTCTTGTGCATCCTGG